AGGTGTCATCAACAGTGCTATCAAGAAGCATCTGCTCAGCGATGCCCAGTTTGGGTTCCGCCAGGGGCACTCAAACCCTGACCCCATAATAACCTTGATTCAAACATGGACAAAAGAGCTGAATTCCAGAGGCGAGATGAGAGTGACAGCCCTTGACATCAAGGCTGCATTTGACTGAATGTAGCATCAAGGAGCCCAAGCAAAACAGGAATCAATGGGTATCAGGGGACAAACTCTCCAGTGGTTGGAGTCCTGCCTGTCACATAGGAGGATGGTCGTGGTTGTGGGAGGTCAGTCATCTCAGCTCCAGGGCATCTCTGCAGGAGTTCCTCAGGGTAGTGTCCTCGGCCCAACCATCTTCAGCTGCCTCTTCAATGACCTTCCCTCTATCACAAGGTCAGAAGTGGGGATGTTCGCCGATAACTGTTCAGCACCATTTGCGACTCCTCAGGTATTGAAGCAGTCTATGTTCAAATGCAACAAGACCTGGACAATATCCAGACTTGGACAGAGAAGTGGCAAATAACATTTGCAACATACAAATGCCAGGCAATGTCCATTTCCATTAAGAGACAATCTAACCTCTGTTCCTTGACATTCAATGACAATACCGTTACAAAGTCCTCCACTAACAACACCCTGGGGGTTACTATTGACCAGAAACTGAACTGGACTCCCCATATGAATATAATAGCTACAAGAGCAAGTCAGAAACCAGGAATACTGTAGCAAATCATTCACCTCTTGACTTCCCAAAGCCTGTCCACCATCTACAAAGCTCGAGTCAGGACTGAAGTGGAATACCAAACCCCTCCCCCAACTTGCCTGGATGGGTTTAACTCCAACAACTTAAGACACGATCCAGGCTAAAGCAGCTTGCTTGACTAGCACCACATCTACAAGCATCCACTTCCTCTACCACCAATGCTCAGTACACACTGCTGCTACTATCTACAAGATGCACTACAGAAATTCACCAAACACCCTCAGCCAGCATCTTCCAAACGCACAACCACTTCCACATAGAACGCCAAGGGCAGCAGACACATGAGAACACCACCACCTTCGAGCTCCCCTCCAAGCCACTTACCATCCTGACTTGGAAAATATCACCATTAAATGCTAGCCTAGCCAGTGACACCCATGTCCCACTAGTGAATAAGCAAAGTAAAAAGTTGTACCAGATCTGCAAGGTTACTCAACAGAGAAATTCTTGTTTCTAATTGCAATCACTCTGTTTTAAAAAGCTAAAGTTTTAACACTGAAGTACATTGTGTACCATTTACTAGATATACTGCAGCATTGCACCAAAGCTCCTCAGACAGAACTTTACAAACCTATGCCCTTACCATCTCGAAGGACATGGATGGCAGATACATAGAAACACTGCCTCACTTGTGCTTCAAACCAATCTTGCTAACTACACACTGAGATACTGATCCAGAGTATCATGGGTTTTGACCTTCATCGCTAAGTAAGATTTGTATATTGTAACACCCCTTATTTATATCGTACATTTATAGGACCCTTTTTTTATATGTTCAATCTAGACTGATGTTTTCTCTGTTACTTACGTCAGAATCCGGTCATCAGTGACATGGTGATTAATATGAAACTCAATACACCACAAACATCACCACCCACAAGGTCCCCTCCAAACCACAAAATCTGGACTTGGAACAGTATCACTTCCTCTAGCGCTGCTGACTCAAAAACCTGGAACTACCTTCCTAACATTGTGGGTGCCCCGCACCCCGAAAGTTGCAGCAGTTCAAGGTGGCAGCTCAGTACCAGAGGGCAATTAAGAATAGGCAATAAATGCCAACTTAGCTAGAGACTCATATCCTATGAACAAACATGAACATAAAAATCAAAACTTTTATTAGAAATAGGGACAGTGTGCCAACAACTGCTAGCTAATAAACCCAAGTTCCTCCCATTGTAAGAAGTCACTTGTTAGGTGGGAAAAGATGAGAACGTTATATTGAGATTGTACAGAACATTGGTGAGGTCTCTTCTGGAGTACTGTACACAGTTCTAGTCACCCTTGTTAATAGGAAGGATATTATGAAGCTGGAGAAGGTTCAGAAGAGATTTACCAGGATGTTGCCAGGAGTGGAGGGTTTGAGTGAAAGGAGAACCTGAAGACACTGGGACTTTTTTCTTTCCCACTGGAGCATGAGAGGTTGCTGGATGACCTTATAGAGGTTTATAAAATAATGAGGGGTACAGATAAGGTGAATGGCAGGTGGTCTTTATCCTTGGGCAGGGGGTTTCAAGACCAGCAGGCATATTTTTAAAAGGTGAAAAGGATAAAGGCTTAAAAAAAAAAGACACAGGGTTTTTTTTTTTTTTTTAAAATACAGAGAATGGTTCGTGTATGGAATGAACTTCCAGAGGAAGTGGTGGATGCGGGTAGTTACAACATTTGAAAGACATTTAGATACGTACATGAATAAGAAATGTTTGGAGGGATATGGGCCAAGCCCAGGCAGGTGGGATTGGTTTAGTTTGGGATTATGTTCAGCAAGGACTGTTTGGATCAAAGGCTGTTTCTGTGCTATATGACTCGGACAGAAAGAAATGATGCAATGGATTTTCAGACTTATCCTTTAACCCCTGGAAACGTGGGTTGGAAAACTGGAACAATGAAGCAGTATTGTGTATAAAGTGAGTTTGGGGCCTACATCATGGACGTTTGGATTTGTAACAATAGGCCTCAAACTCGTGTCTTAGGAGGCAGTTGCTCTCACTGCAGCTATCTGCTTTAAGGACTTGTATTGCTGCAGTCCCAGAAATGTGTTAATCTCTGCAAGCACAGGGTTGGCATGTTATGTGAAGTATCATGCTTCATTCTGGTGCAGGAGGCAAGACCAGGCAGTAGATAGGAAGATGCATTGGAACATTAGTCATTTGACAGCTTTGGTTCAATACATGGTCAATAGCCATGACTAATACAAAATGATATTCATGCCTGCATTAATAATTTGCTGAAAGAGGTTTGGAAAACTGAGAACTAACCCCATATGAATAAATTTCTAACTTCCTCCTTCATTTTCTCGTAATAGGTAGAAATTTTTTTTAAACTCTCCAGCTACCAGCTCACAGCGAAAATCATTTTGCTATTTAACCACTGAAAACTTGACAGAATGTTTCAAACCTGTTAGATCCCACCTCAATTCGAGTCACAAGTTGTCTCCTTTGTTTTTGCCCCACTGTTTGTAGCTCTCAATCTTACCAGCATATTTCTTTCAGCATTCAGCAACTCAGGAGTCCAAGCTGTTCAGAAATCCAGGAGCAGCTTGCGTTCCTGGGATAGGACAATTTCCACATCTTCACCCCACCCACTCACTAGTGCTCAAATGTAGCAAAATTTCTCAACTTGGCCAACATCTAAGTCCTGTTTCAGGGCAAGAATCTAACCAGAGAAACACACAGGAAGGTTGAAAATCCAAGAACGTGGTGACATCGATTTGCAAAAAAGCAGGGAGGTGTAGGCAGAAAAGACATTTTAAATCTAAAGAGATAACAAGGTGTGGAGCTGGATGAACACAGCAGGCCAAGCAGCATCAGAGGAGCAGGAAAAGCTGACGTTTCGGGTCTGGACCCTTCTTCAGAAATAGGAGAGGGGAAGGGGATTCTGAAATAAATAGGGAGACAGGGGGAGGCGGATGGAAGATGGATAAAGGAGAAGATAGGTGGAGAGGCAAAGAGGTGGGGATGGAGCCAGTCAGGGACAAAGAGATTACAAGATGGCTGCAGTGGGAGGGAGATCCACAGAGGTCTTTCCGGAGGGAGGAGAGTAACTTCTTCAAGGTAGGCATCCTTGGAAGAGGCTTTGCAGTGGGGTTAAAATTGTTACAGAGATAGTGGGAACAGCCAATGCTGGAGATCCATCTTCCATCCGCCTCCCCTTCTCTCCCTATTTATTTCTAAAGAAGGGTCCAGACCCGAAACGTCAGCTTTCCTGCTCCTCTGATGCTGCTTGGCCTGCTGTGTTCATCCAGCTCCACACCTTGTTATTTCAGATTCTCCAGCATCTGCAGTTCCCATTATCTTTAAATCTAAAGAGGCTACTTTTACGTTCACAATAAAGATTTAACTTATGCACAAAATCAAGACAATGTGTTGGAGGATTTCTGTTTAGCAAAAATACTTTATTAGTTATCATATACCACAATATATGCACATTTCTGCAATATAAACATTTTCCAAAAATCTATGCTCAAACCTATTGAGAAAGAAACGAGAACTATAGTTACATATTGTAATTTAACCATACTGGTAAACAATCAAGCAGGAAAGAAATAGGTTGGGATGTGTAGAACATTTTCGTGACTGTAATTGGAAAAACAAACAGTCACAGAATCATAGGGATGAGGTTATGATGAGTTCTCAGGTTCTGACATGCAATGGCTTTTGGTTTTTAAAATAAGCACCTAATATTGATTTAATAAAAAAGAAACACTAAATTCAAGTGAAAATTGTGGTCATCACAATAGAAACAAACATTTAGAGAATGGCCAAATCAGGTCAAAAAAGGATGAAATTGCTTTATTATTTCACTATTAATAGTTGTTGTTACATCAACATTCTCTCCTTCTTTCAAATCATTTCATCCCACTGCCAACCCAACCAAAACTTCCCCATTATAATGATACAAGTTGGAAATAGAGATCAGGGTTGAATGCTCTTCCTAGTCATTACCCAGGTCATGCGCTGGGTTTGGATTCTTCATTAAAAAAAAAAAGGTCCAAAATAGTTTCTGTGAAAACCCCTCACTGCCAGACCTGCTGAGCTTTTCCAGCAGCTTCTGTTTTTGTTCAAAATTCATTGTCTGATTGTAACTCACTTTCAAGAAAACTCAAGATGTGGAGATGCCGGTGTTGGACTGGGGTGGACAAGGTCAGAAGTCACATGACACCAGGTTATAGTCCAACAGGTTTGTTTGAAATCACAAGCTTTTGGAGCGTAGCCCCTTTGTCGGGTGAACCTGACAAAGGAGCAGCGCTCTGAAAGCTCGAGATATTCCAAACAAACCTGTTGGACTATAACCTGGTGTCATGTGACTTCTGACCCAGAAAACTCAAGACATTGATCTTTTTGGTGATAATTTCAGCGAAGAGGTTTCTAACAAGAACAAAACATTGACTCTGGCAATAATACAAACCGGGGAGTTTCAATCGTTGGATGTTACTATTTGAAGCAGCCTACTGCAACGGCCAGAGAAGAATGGATGTTGTGAACTGGTTAACAATTTCTTCAAAGTTTATCATTTTTTTCCTGATAACTAACTCTTTCTAACTCTTTTATATCATTTTTTTTTTTTTTTTTTTAAAAAAGTGTTGAAAACAGGAGTCAAGTCTAGTTCCAATGAGGAGCCAATAAACAGAATTAATGTCATTGGGTGCAGTTGTGTAATGAAGTCTTAGAGGACCCTGTACCTCAGTAACACTAGAGGTCCAAGAGGCCTTTGGGAAAATGAGTAGGTGGAAGTTTAAAATTGCAAAAGGGACTTCTGAATAGTTCCAGTTGAATTAGAAATTTCAGTCAAGCTTCATACAACCTTTGTATCAATAACAGGATCTACACCTCACACATAAATTTTAAACGTCAGTAAGGGAGACAGAGACCAAAGTGTTAGAAAGAAGTCAGAAGTAGCATTATTAATTCATAGTCTGGTATCCAACAACATTCAGATATTGCAGCAGAGTTTTACTCCACAGAATGTAATGTCACTGTTAAAGTCAATACAAACAATAACTTTTATAAAATATTTAACAGGCACCATAGTTTTGAAAACAAACAGGCAATTCAGAAATCTGACCCTTTGGTTGTGCAGTGATTGGGTGAACAATTCTCGACTCAGTTCCCCAACGAGGCACGGACAGATCAATCCATACTAAACCCAACAGGAGAAACCCATGTAGTCCAAAATGTACATCTTTACCATCAGCACCACAAGTGAAAGAATTCTACCTGCTAAAAGGAAAGTGGCATGTGCAGTGGCCAGTTTCGCGATACTGCTTAAAACAGGTCAAAGCCAGCTTCAGTTTGCACTCCTGTGGGACTTTTAGAATCACTTACTCTTCAGTTACATAGGAAGGAAACATTTCTGCATTCCGTCGAGACACAACTTCCCCATAATTTCTCGCTATTGCCTTGTTGGGTATCGAGTTGGTCCCAAACCCAAAACAGCTGCACAGACAGGAAACCAGCCGAGCACGGACTACTTGTGTGCACAGGACAAAGATAATGCAATTAGCTGCTCCTTGAAACGTGTTTCCTATTCCCTGCAGGACATTTATTGAAGGAAGGGTAGAGGGTTGGTGAGAGAGGATGGGGAAGAAAGAAACAATTAGCTGAATGGACAGAAATAAAAGGCTAATAAATCATCTTGCTACGGACACACAGCTGATCTGGCACAGTTGAGTCTCTCACACAGTCAAATTGCAAGGGGATCCTGCGGTTCAGTGGTAGTGTCCCAACCTCTGAGCCACAAGGCCCGGGTTCAAGTCCCATCTGGGCACTTGAAGGAGGAGAAGTGATGGTCTTCGCACAGCGTGGCGGTATCGCCCAGCACAGCGGTCTCATCCCGGTGTAGCAGGCTTCCAGGTATTCCCTTGGCCGGGCAGGTGGTCTCATCCAGGAGTGGCAGTCTCGACCCAGCATGGTGGTTTCCCTCAGCAGAGGTTTCTGGCCCAGTATTCCAGTGACCTGGTGTAGCGGTCTTGTCTTGGAACGCCAGTCTCAACCCAGCTGTGTCTTCAGGGTATTCCATCGTTCCTTAATTGGCTTTTCCCCAGCCCAGGAGCCGTTAACTGAACTGTGATGAAACGGTGTCTTAATTTTACCTTTTTTTTATTATTATGTATGATTTCTGTCATCAATGTAGGTGCCGTGGTGGGGCGACTTAGAGAACCTTTCACTGTATTTTTCATGTAAAAGTAGGTGACAATAAATTCCTATTCTATTCTGGACATATGTCATAATGTCTCTGGGCAGACTGATTAGAAAATACATCAAGTTTCAGTTGTAACAACAGTGGTGTTGTAAATATCACTAGATGCCTTTGGCTATGGTCAAATTACTCGATCCTTTTCCCTCCACCACACATGTGCAGTTATATCCAATTTATCAGTTTGACTGTCCAAGAGGTTGGCTGATCTACCTCCATCCAGCACTTACCATACACTGCAAATTAGCATCTCATCTGCACATACAACTTTTGTTTCTGTCATCTCTCCACAGCACTGAAGAGTTTATATTTTGACAAGAAAAATACTGGCACAGACTGATTTTTACCAGAACCAAAAACTGACTCAGTTGCTATAAACCACAATAACATGCATGGATGAATTCTACCAGACAAAATGGACTGTCAACCAAAAAAAAAATAGTTCCCAATCTTGCTGATCACTTAACTATTCATTTTGAACTACACATTTTAATAAGTTTTGAATTTTTAGACATATTCTGGGTTTTACAACCTATAAACAGCAACAGCTACTTAAAGGTACCAACAAAGAAATGAACAAAAATTTAGAAGATAATTTACAACAAGCTGTCACTTGCAGTCACCAAACAACAACTTGTATTTATGTAGAGTCCTTGACATATCAAAAACACCGCAAGGTGCTTTGTAAGGAGCACTTATTAAAAAAAACTAGATTGAACACCACAAGGTGATATTGTTGATTAAGCAGTACTTGGTGTAAGACAGTCATTACCTGAAAGGGTTAATTGATATTGTAAGATAAGTGCTAACCATTAAGATATAAAAAGGACCAATTCTGGGAGTAACTAACCTGTGTTCACCCATTTTTAGGATCTCTCTAAGTTGTTCTGGTACTAAGTTCATGTAGCTCACAGTAATAGATACTCCATCTTAATTGAGCCCAATGTCTCATGAGACAATGTATTCTAGATGTAATGGAACTAGCTATTAAGTGTTATGTAATGAACCTATGCTTTTTAAAAATCAAGACCAAACCTACCTTCTGAAGATTTGAGGGCATCCTTGCCCACTGTTTTCGATAACTTAGACTAATAAGGTGGCACTGGACTTACCAAAGGCATCTCATTCAAGCTGTTAAAAATTGCGTGCTGTGTCGTAGGTGTTAGATATTTCTTCTGCCACCCTGTTATAAAATAAAATATTCAGGAATTGATGATCTAGTGATATTGCCACTAGATTATTAACCTGGAGACCAAGGTACTATTCTAGGGATCTGGGTTTGAATCCTGCCATGGCAGATGGAGTTTGAATTTCATAAAAACCTGGAATTAAGAGTCTAATGACGATCATGAAACCATTGTCGATTGTTGACAAAACCCATCTGGTTCATTAATGTTCTTTAGGAAAGGAAATTGTCATCTTTACCTGGTCTGGCCTACATGTGACTCCAGACCCACAGCAATGTGAGTGACCCCTAACTGCCCTCTGGGTAACTAGCGATGGGCAATAAAAGCTGGCTTGGCCAGTGATGGCCTCATCCCATGAATGAATAAAAAAAAGCACATACTGATCATGTGAGCAATATTAAAGGTGATGCATAAACAACTACTTAATTCGGGGTCAGACGGACAGTTGGCTGGACAGCTGGTTGAGTAGGAGTTGCCTTGGTCCCAGAGGATCATAGATCTGCTGTCTCAGGGTGACAGGTGGTGGTTTAACCAGAGGGTCACCACGTCTCAGGCAAGGGAAGCAGTTGATAAGGAGAATCCTTTATGGTAACCTCAGCCAATGTGGAAATTGAACCTATGCTGTTGGCATCACTATGATGCAACAACTTTATTAACTCTCAAATTCATCTGAACAGGAAGAAACTGATTTTTCATTGTATCTGAAAAAGCATCACGAAGACCACACAGCAGGTAATGATGGATTGACCGGAAAACCCACTGGGCCTGGCAATGACAGCTGTATTAACCTAGCCACATCAAAAATCCCCAACGCATCATCCAGTCACTTGTACAATTTTACAGAACGCTAAGGTGTTTTGCTCAGTTTTTTGTAAAAAGCATCAAGGTCCTGTCACGGGATTTAAATTGTGGAAATCATATTTCTTGCTTCTCTTCCAGAAGATGGTCACTATCTGGGAATAGGATTCCTAGGAAACAGACTGCTCTCTGGTACCTCTCGAGGACTGGGGCTTGAAGCCAGAATTCAGACAACAGAAGCCACAGGCAATTTGACCAAGTGCCTGTGTTAGGAGTAGGGGGTGGGATATCTGAATCGATTTGCTCAATTGTCAGCCAGTCGCCATTAGGAAACAAAGTGACTGGGGGGAGGAGGGCCGGTGGTGGTGGCGGTGTTTGTTTAAAACATCAATCTGAAACATTAGAGACAGTAGGAACTGCAGAATCTGAGGTAACAAGGTGTAGAGCTGGACGAACACAGCAGGCCAAGCAGCATCAGAGGAGCAGGAAAGCTGACGTTTCAGGTCTAGACCCTTCTGAAACATTAACTCTGTTTCCCTCCATAGTTGCTGCCTAACCTGCTGTGTGTTTCCAGTGGTTGCTGTTTTTAGTTCATCTTTCCAGCATCCCTAGTAGTCGGCTTTTCTAAGTACAAGTGATGAGGCTTTGAAAGGGTTATTGCTGAGCAGTGCATTAAGCACTGTCCAATATGATTTTGTCACACAGACATTGGTGGGAGAACAGCTCTGGATCTTAAACACTGAGATCTCCTCCCTCTTGATACCAGGGTCTATCATCCCAAAGTAACGTGCACTTAGTTGCTATCATGTCCTGTAGGGAAGGACACTGCCATCCTTACCTGGTCTGGTCTACATGTGATTCCAGACCCACAGCAATGTGGTTGACTCTTAACTGCCCTCTGGGCAATTAGGGATGGGCAGGAAAAGCTGATTCAGCCAGCAATACCCACATCCCAAGAATGTATAAAAATGTTTAAGTCGAGAGCTTTTTTCGTTAGACTCCCCAAGCGGTTTTCCGCTACACAGCAGACCCCAACGTTAAAAAAAGGAGGATGGTGACAGCAAATTTACATTATGGTAACCAAGAGTCCAGCTAATTCCTACAATACAACGAGCAATGGCAGGAATTCATCATTAGAAAGGTAATTTGGCCATTTCTACCATTCTCACCCCTTTCCACTTAGAGGATGGAATCTAACTGTTGCAGGGAGCAGGTTCACTACCCTCCTGGTCTGGTTCCTTCAGTCATACCAAAAATTGCAAATACCGAGGCTACCTGGGAATGTCCTAAGTAGGAGTACTCCTCTGCACTGGGAGGCACGAAAGTGCTTCAATAAAAAAAATTCAAAATTTTGGGCAGTGACCAGGAACTCGCTCTTATATTTCCCTGGTGACCAGAACGGGTTCCGAAGCCTGATCTAGGCCATAATGTAAAGCCAATGTGACAAAGCTCAGGGCTACAATCAGCTGTGGCAAAGTCTACTTAGCTTCCTTCATCCCAGAGACTATTTTGTCATCATAATGGACAGAAAAATTCGATCATAAATTAAGTCAAGGCTTTCAGACCCTTTGGCTTTAATACATCACAGTATCAATCTGAAATCTAGGTTTGGATTCCACCTGGACTTTAAATGAAAAGGGTTCAGCATATCATAGAATGTGGAGCATTGGAATAGTCTGAGTTTCAATTCTTTTCTGTGTCATAGCTCCTGGCTAAACATAACTAAATAAATCTAGGACAACTGAAGAAGAAAACTGGGATTTGATAACTTTTCCACAGGCCAGTCTCTGCAGTGAGTGAACAAGATGTTAGAAGGTCCTATTTACACATAATAGTTCTTTCTTCAATAGTTTTGTAACACTCAAATCCCATTTACTTTGCATTTTTCATTGGGATGGAATCTCTGCTAAAGAAAGGAAACCAGAAATGCAGCTGCGTCAGCCTTTGGAAAATGGTAGCTCCCAGTCAATGGACACAACCCAGTCCCAAACAACATTTAAAAAGTGGGTTTGATAGAACAGCGACATGTTTGGCTATAAACAGATCAAGCTATTCAACTAATGTTGACTCATTAAAGAAAGCACAGAAGCAAATGACATATGTTCGGGTTTCTAGGAGGTTTCAAAATGTCCCACATGCATTTTTGGAGCTTCCACAATCAGGAATCAGAACTGTACAACACAGACGGAGGCCATTCAGCCCATCAAGTCTGTGCCAATTCTTTCAAAATACACCAAAACTAAATGAACAGCCCTTTCATTTTTGATCGTCTGGCCAAAGGTAGATTTCCATCAAGAAAAATGTTTTCTTTCAAACAAAACAGGATTTTTCACATTACCTGAGCGAGCAAAAAGGGCTCTGGAGCTTGAAACTGGATCAAAATAGGTACCTTTGACAATGCAGCACTCCTGTACCATTACACTGAAGTATCAGGCTGAACAGCCAGCCCTTTACAGGTAGGAGGTAGGAAACTCTGTTATGCAAGTGGAGGCAGAATCACAAACCTCCCTGTCCCACAAAAACAAACACTGGATGTAAACTCAATTAATGTAACTATGAGATCAATAGCCTTTTTACTGTCCAGGGGTGATTTAGGTATGAAGGAAGATGGATGGCATATGGACAAAAATCAGCCATGATCTCAGAATTTTTACATTGGGGAAAGTGCCCACCAAGTTTGCACCGCTCCTCCAAACAGCATCCAACCCAGACCCACCCCCTTACTCTATCCCTGTAACCCCACATTTCCCATGGCCAATCCACCTAGCCTGCACATCTTTGGACTGTGGGAGGAAACCGGACCGCCCGGAGGAAACACACGCAGACACAGGGAGAATGTGCAAACTCTACACAGACAGTCACCCAAGAGGGTATAATTGAACCCGGGTCCCTGGTGCTGTGAGGCAGCAGTGCTAACCACTGAGCCACTGTGTCACCCATCTGATTAACAGGAGAATATCATGAAGCAACATGGTCTCCTCCTCTGTGCATACCCGCGAGTGAGAAGATGCTGTGTACTGGTGACCTCTTCACACTGGGAGGAGACGGGCTTGAACTAGATACAAATCTGCATCCATCAGTTATTATTTTTCTTGAGTTTCTATAACCGTTTGTGTTTCCTAAGTCATTTCCCCGACTGTTCACATATTCACTATGCCCAAGAGCTGGAAATGGAGCTGGAACAGATGACTTTCCGAATCAGAAATTTGTCTCGTTGATGGACAGTCATAATAATGAATTGCTACATCTGACCAACCATGTGCTTTCAAAATGATTATACTTACATGTAGCATTACTAACATTCCATTCTGCACCACAGGCGAATTGCAAAGTGTCAGAATGAACCTCACAGTGCTCCAGATTCGAAGAAAGATGAATATGATGGGTATAATGGTTAGTTTGCGATCTGCAATTGAAGATCTTGTGTGATGGCTGGAACTGCTGATGAGGATAGGACGATACTCTGATAAGGCTTCGTGCTGGGAAAAGAAAATAAAAAGCTTTTTAGTCCCACTGAAGGCCTATGGTATAGCGCAGCAGGCATCGTTACATTGCAACCGCGTATTTTCTGTTCACAGGGTCAAGAGCAGTCGGATCGTTTCAATACTTACTCCCTGTCCAAAAGGAGATTATCCGGTTATCATAGAATCCCTACAGTGTGGGCACAAGCTCTTCGGCCCGTGAAGTCCACACTGACTCTCAGAGCACCCCACCCAGACCCATCCACTATAACCCACCTAATCTACACATCCCTCAACACTATGGGCAATTTTTCATGGCCAATCCACCTAGCCTGCACATCTTTGGACCGTGGGAGGAAACCAGAGCACCCAGAGGAAACCCACGCAGACATGGGGAGAACGTGCAAACTCCACACAGACAGTTGCCCGAGGGTGGAATTGAACCTGGGTCTCTGGCGCTGTGAGGCTGCAGTGCTAACCACTGAGCCACTGTGCCGCCCTAAGGGTGGTTAATGGTTAATGCCTTGATTTTCCAGCAGATAAACAAAGACTAAGTATCTCCAAAATAACCTTCTACAGGCTGATAGAACGTTTGACAAAAGCATTATTTTTTGTAGAAAACTAAAATTAATATTCACACAGACATTTCAGTGACTCAGTATTAACTGCCCACTCTCAATGGTCATTGAGAAGGTGGTGGTGAGTTGCCTTCTTGAACTACTGCAGTCCACATGCTGTAGGCAGACCCACATCCTTCAAAGTACGGAGATCTTCAATTCTGACACTGCACAGTGAAGGAACATTCATATAGTTCCAAGACAGCAGGGCTTGTGGCATTGAAGGAGAATTTGAAGGTTGTGTTCCACATTAACTGGTTAAAATTGCAATTAATTTCAAAAAATTAGATCAGAATCAAAGTGGTTTTATTGCAGATAAGCCTTTAAGTTAATCAACACTTCACTGCCAGGACGGAGTAATTTGCAGACTGTGGGGAAAAGTGCACATAAACAGCTTATAGTGTATAGTGTGGGAATAGTGTATGAAAACAGTAGTGAGAAATGAGACCAGCCAGGATTTAGAATGGTGAAACAGGCTTGAGAAGCTGAAAGGCTTTTCCAATGTTCCCAGAACAGTACAGCACAGGCGCATGGGGGTTTGGCCATTCAGCCCCTTGTGTCTGTTCTGATCTGATCGTGAGCTCAACTTGATTTTGTTCTACAACAACTGGCATTTACGTAGCAAATTTGAAGTTGTCCTAAGACATTTCACAGGAGTGTTACCAACAAAATGTGACACTAAGCCATTTACGGAGGTATTAGGACACATGACCAACACCTTTACCAAAGAAATAAATTTTAAGTTACATCTTAAAAGGGAGAAGGGACAGAGGGTGCGAGTGCCGGAAGATTAAGGAAGAGAATTCAATTCTCTCAAAATATTCAATACAAACTCTTTACATTTTCTACTCACCGACTTGGAAATAAATAAATACAGAATGAAAATCGCTCTTGCATTTCTGACGACATTCCAATTACTACTTACTCAAGAAGCCACCAAATTCCAGGCACAACATGCTGTAGTCATAAACACATTGCCAGGCGCCACTTCAACAATAGTTGCAAAATATCATAATTAAGCACAGAGCACAGGTTGTGTTACAGCAAAAACTGATCTTTAAAATGTGCAAGATGCATTATAGGAGTTGAGAGGCTTGAAATGTTCTGGAATCTGAAGCTATCCCCAGATATAAGATGCTTCTTCCTAATTGTTGTCCGCTGATTACCTAACATTTGTTTGTGGGCAGCAGGATGAACCATGGCTGCATTACACCCCATGGTTATATATTCAAACAGGTACTGCCTAGAATACAACACAAACATAGAAAAACTTACAGTCATAGTGAGGTGGCCCTTTAGCTCAAGCTAGATCTTTGAAATACAAGTCCTAGTTAAGACTTGGAGGATTAGGTACCTGTAGGGTGGCCAGCCAAAGGAGAATCATTATCTTAGTGAAAGCAGTGATTTCACTGAGAAGGGAGAAAGCAAGCCCATACCTCATCCAGCCTACTCCCTGCTCTATTCCTGACTTTGAACAGAAATGGTACAGCACAGGAACAGGCCCTTCGGCCCACTGTGCTGGCATGATGCCTTTCTAAACTGAAAAACCTTTTGCCTCAACTCTCAATTCCCTGCCCATTCACTGTCAATATACTTTTTTAACAGTGCCACTGCCTCCATCTCCACCACCTCCTCTGGCAGCACATTCCAGGCAGTTGCCACCCTCAAAAAAAACACTTGCCTTTTATATCCTTTAACCATACTCCCTGTTAACTCAAACCCATGTCCCCTGGTAAGTGATATTTCTACCCTGGGGAAAAAAAGACTATGACTATCCATTCTGTCCATCCCTCTCATAATTTTGTAAACTTCTATCAGGTTGCCACTCACCCTTCAACATTCAAGAGAAATCAAACTGGTTTGCCCAATCTCTTCTGGCAGCTCATACCCTCCAAACCAGACAACATCCTGGTAAACTGTTTCTGTATCTTCTCAAAAGCCTCTACATCCTTCCTATAGTGTGGCCACCCTAACTGTACACAATATTCTAACTGTGGCCTAATTAAAAGTTCTTTACAGTTGTATAGTGACTTGCCAATTTTTATATTCTGTCCTCTGACTAATGAAGATAAGCATGCCATATGCCTTCTTGACCACTTACCAATTTATGTTGCCACTTTCAGGGCACTGTAGACCTGTACACCTAGCTCACTCTGTACATTGATGCTAAGGGATCTGCCACTTACTTCCCTCCTTCATTAGATCTGCAAATATGCACGGATAAAGAAATGTATTCCCTTCCACACTAAACCATCCAATGCCCAGCAAGATATACATTCTGGAATTAGTTTTAATGAAGACTTTGTTAAGTGTACATGGATCCATACAAACTGCAAATTCATTTTGTCAAAGGTAAAGATTATAGATTTCTAGATTCTAATAACATGAACAACATGGGAATAGTGTAGGAAAACAGCAGTGAGAAACAAGACCAGCCAGGATTGAGAAAGGTGAAACAGGCTTGGGACACCGAAAGGCTTTTCCGATGCTTCCAGAAGGTAGTTTTGCAAATAGGTCGGGAATAGGATGAAAACAAGTGGGAGTGAAATGAACCATTTTGCATATTATTTTAGGGCAGCAAAATATCATTCACATGTATATAAAAAAGAACTCTCAAAGTGCAGGACAAACTGAATCAGAGATAATTATAGAGGAGACCCTTGGCCATTCTTAGATTTAAGGTGCAAGACCATAGGAACAGAAAGAGGCCATTCAGCCCACCGAGTTAGTTCTGCCATTCAATGAGATTGTGGTCAATCCAATAACCCTCAACTCCACTCTCTTGCCCTTATACATGTTATTGGTCAAGAGACAGGAGGCAAAAAGAAAATAACGTGTTGAAAGAATGCCTTGCTGACTGGACTGAATTCTGACAGGTTTCCCCAAAGTATTCTGACCATTCCTTCCACAAATTACACATGGATGGCAGTGGGTCAAGGTGGCAGCTCACCACCTCTTTACAAGGGCAATTAGTGACGGGTAATAAATGCTGGCCTCACCAGCAATGCTCACATCACATGAGCAAATGAAAAACGTTAGAAAAGGCAACTGAACATGTACCTGAATAAGTCCAATTTGAGGGTCATTTCTTCCAACACTGATCATGGAAATGAACAGCACATGATGAGAAAAATGTCACACCCCTGGTAATGACACTTGTCGAGTATTCCAGAGGCTGAGGCTAATACTGTAGGGATACAGGTTGAAATCCTACAGCAGTTGATGGAATTTCAACTCAATTAATTCTTCATAACCATGAAGCTACCATCAATTTATCATTTTTAAAAATCTAGGTCACTAATGTCCTTGAGGAAAGGAAATCTTCCACTGTCAGCAGATCTGGCCTACATGGGACTGTGGATCCACAGATACCCAATTAGCCTCTGAATTGGCCTGACAAGTCACGCGGTTGTACCAAGCTACTACAGAAACGGCTCACCACCATTTTTTTGGGGCAATTTGAGACAGGACAACGAACGATGGTCTGGCCTGCGACATTCAGCTCTCGCTGGGCACGTTGACACCAGGAACAAAGCAGAAAATGACTCATAAGTTATGGTTAGTAATGGAAAGACAGGGCCTTCTGGCAATATTGCAGTAATTGTAGAGAGGGCAAATAAATTACTACAAGGAAATGAGAATGCCTTACAGCCCATGTTTTGTTTCATCTCCAGGGAGAGAATACCTTTCAGATTATCCATGATGCTTATTTAAAAAAAGGTACATGGGTGAATCTGCCTCCACCTTTGAACTGGTTCAAATATGTTCAGGAATGCAGGCAAGTATCTAAAGCAACTAGTCTTCCCTTCAGTTCCAAATTCATGAACGATAAAGGTGAGAAAACACCGAGAAAGGAAAGAAAAACAGGGTCTGACGGTCTCATGTCACAAAACTAATGCGCCAATGCCATCCTTCTGGCCTAGAGAGGGGTGGAGGTTAAACAACACCATCCTTGGATAATGGCTTTGATTTAAACACTGACAGTACAAATTTTATTTATAGTGCGTCCCACAGGCATGTGGAATGGGCTTGCCTCTCCCTTTGACTAGCTCGGAGTCTCAGCATAGATGTGGCATTGTTCACCAAACCACAAGGGAAAGATTAACAGGGAGATGTTGCTGCACTCTTTCAGAAGAGAAAGAAAAAAGGATTAACATATTCTGGCTAAAATTTGAAAATAAAATGCTCAATATTGGCTTTGCTTGAATCAGGTCATTCTTTACTTTAAAGGAAAAGGGAAAATCTAATATAGAATGTGTCTAATTCTGTCTAAGCCTTGAGGTTTAGGAATTGTAAGTAACTGGAGTCAGATAGGGGCTAAATACACTTGCAGTGACATGTGACAACTCAGATGTTTTAAAGCGACACTATGTCTACGGACAGACTTTGTTTCCTAGCATTTGGGGTGTAACGTTTCAGTTTACAGAGAATGAGATTCACTGGACTGAACTAGAGGGTCACCACAGCAGGAGAAGGGGGAGGGGAAAAAAAAAAAGTGGTGAGAACCATTTTTACAATTCCCCCATCTAGCCTGGCCTCAATTATTTCAGCTGAGTCAGCATTTCTATCAATAACTGGTCAGTTCAACCAGCAGCAGTAACTATTGCCATTTTGTTCCAGCCCAATCACGAGCTTGGGACCAAGTCCTGAAGGAAAACCTCTGTAGCCATTTAACAGGCAACAGGGCACAAACTGGGGAGGAGAATGTGATAAGTGATGCCAAAATGAAGCAGACTGGTTGTTTACTCATGCTTAGTGACCCCTAGAGGTTCAGGTAGCTCCTCTAGCCCGAGGCACCATGTCGGAGCATGTGCCATGGGTGGAGACCATCTCTAACCGGTGCCCACCACGACATTCAGGTCCCTGTTAGCAAGACAACATTCCTAGTTCCCTCTGTCTGGGGCAACTGACCACAACTGTGCAGGGCAGCTACAGACAGCCAGGACTTGACCAGGAGCATGGCTAGGATTTAAACAGGGCATCTGTGCCTGGGGTCCTGGAGGCAGTGCACAATACTTCTACTGGTGGTGCGTGGGAAAATACAACAAACAGGGCACCAGAGGGCTGTGGGGCATAGGTAGTGAGGTTAGTTTAGGGAGGATTGAGGCAGAAACCACATCAGGCCCACAAAGAGAAACTCTCCATTAAAAAAAAAATCACCAAAATGACACTTAGCCAACTTCTGGTAAGGTTCAGCCCTAAGATTTGATATAGAAGGGTAAATTCTCCAGATTTGAATCATTGTTAAGTAATGGTGCAGGACAGTTTGTTGTGCTGCGTGTTTTGGGATCGTTTCAATACGTGTTCCATACTTAGCTAGCTTGATTTACTCCTCATTGTGTGAAAATCCTCTGTTTTATTGTTAAAGAAAACTTTACAGTATATCTGTCTCTTGGGTATCCAGCTTCTCTGCTATACTCAGTGGACGGATATTTATGGGGATGAGGTAGATTTTTTTTTGCCTCAGCCTCCTCCAGCATTCTCATGTGGAGGGTGGGAAGCAAATAAATTCTGAATCAGTCGGTTTCCTCTGCCTAATTACTGATTCCACATAATTGCTGCTTGTCAACTCTGCAAGGCTACAGCATTGAAGCACATTGGCTTCAGTGGAGCAAACTACTGTCTCCTATTCACACCCATTTTACATCTCTATCACTCCTTTACCACTCCCCTTGTCTTTTGCTCTGAGCACCCTTACAATCTGTATCCACTTGTTCCGCCTCCCCCACTGTCAACAGCATGAAACCCTTCATGTTCCACCCTAAACGGGTCATACCAGACTCAAAATGTTACATCTGTTTCTCTGCCTACAGGCTCTACTAGAACTGCTAAGTTTCTCTGTTTTTACTAAAGAATTAGCTTTGGTTCTAAATGCATAATCTGTGGCTTTTGCGAGGTACTCATTGTCCCAAATCCACCTGTGGCACAAGTCGAACCCTTAAAACACAGGGGTCCCCACATCACTTCCATAATCAGAAACCTTACTTGGGCCTTAGTGAGTGCCACGAGCTGCAGCTATTAAATATTTACCAGCAGGTTCCCTGCCCACCTTTCCCGGTCTGGCCTATAGCTGACTCCAGACCCACAGCAATGTGGTTGGCTTTTTATTTTCAATTTTCTCTTTTTAAGAGACAGTGGAATGGTTCAAATTTGTACTTAAAATTAAATAAATTATTTTGAGAGAAAAATAAAACATTTTGTTTAATAGCAATAAAGATATTAGACTTTTAATCGCCCTCTGTGCACCTGCATGGGTTTCCTCTGGGTGCTCTGGTTTCCTCCCACAGTCCGAAGACTGGCTAGGTGGATTGGCCATGGGAAATGCAGGGATAGAGTAAGAGGGTGGGATGCTGTTCGGAGGGTCAGTGTGGACTCGATGGGCCAAGTGGCCTGCTTCCACATTGTAGGGACTCTATGATGCTATGAATTAGGGATAGGCAATAAATGCTGGCATAACCAGTAATACCCATGTCCAGTGAATGAATTGGAAAAAAAAAGTCTGTGCTTTCCCAGAAATCCTCTATACTCTTTTCTAGGAGAGAAACTATTTGCTTCTGCCTCAGAAAGGTCTCCTCCAAAACTGCCCCAAAAAAGCTATCAGCCTCTCAGTTTCCCAAGCTAAATCAATCCACAATTAATCTAAACCAAAATAAAACCTTTGTCTATGTTTCAGTGAATAATCACCACGTTAAAAATGAAAGAAAACAAGATCTAGCAAGCCAGTTTTCAATCTGAGATCTGCCTTGTCCAGTAGTAACATCAGCTGGGATCATGACAACAAAGTAGTTATTACAGTCACAATATAAATAGACCTCGCAAACATTTGATACTTCACATGAGATTACCTAAACCCCAGTTAAAAAGCCTTGCGCACATTATTTTTATCACTCTAAACCTGATCACTAAAATTTTTTCTCATAATACCCTGCAATTGTCACAGGGCAACTAAAAAGTGCACAAAGATAGATTGGCAAGTAGAAGCAACAGGATTAGTGCCTTCTGTCAAGCTATAGTCAGGCTTGTAGAGCTTGGGCAGCACAGTGGCTCAGTGGTTAGCACTGCTGCCTCACAGCACTGGGGACCTGGGTTCGATTCCACTCTCGGGCGACTGTCTGCGTGGAGTTTGCACGTTCTCCCTGTGTCTGTGTGGATTTCCTCCGGGCACTCTGCTTTCTTCCCACTGTTGAAAGATGCACAGGTTAGGTGGATTGGCCATAGGAAGTTGTTCAGGGATGTGTAGGTGTTAGCCATGGCAGATGCAGGGTTACAGGGATAAGGTGGGTGGGTCTGTGTGGGGTGCTCCTCAGAGGGTCAGTGTCGACTTGTTGGGCTGAATGGTCTGTTTCCACATTGTAGAGATTCTTCAGGCCTCATATTGAGTGAGCCCTGCCACTGGCTGTACACTTACACATGGACTAATTGACAATGCTCAAAAAAAACATTGAATTGATGAGCAGACTGTCAATACACAGCTCTCCTAAGGTTGTTCTGGGGGCATTCCTCTAGTTGGGGGGTTACAAACACCTAGAATCTTAAAGGACTGGAGGCCATTTGATCCATTGAGATTGTACACACTCACTGCAAAAACAAAAACTGTTTTATTAATACCACTTTCCATCCCCATCTACCTCTACATTTTTCTTGATTCTTTTTATTTTGCAAATTATTCAGTTCCGTTCCAGTACCCTTTTTGACATTGTTATTACAGATCATAATTCATTGCATTAAAAAGGGCTCATTTCCCCTTTGGTTCCATTGCCAATTGTATTAAAATTTATAATGCAATTATCTTATTCATTAGATCCCTTACCTGCAGACATTCTTGAACACTATTTAGAAGTCACTTGCAGTTTGACCAAGCTCTGCCAACAACTGGCAGTGTATATAACTGAGATTGTAACTTGTTGGAATAATCCCCTGTACTGCTGGTTCTCCTGTGGTGTAGCCTCTGTATACCCTGACAACATCTCACTGTCCTTCTGCCCACAACAGATTTCCGGTGCAGGCCAAAGGAGTTGTGGATAGAACAAAGTTTCCTCTCAAATCCAGGTATAAAAACAAAGTACATGATTGCAAATTTCTTCAAATCTTAAAAAGATGGCTAACTGAAAAAAAAAACGAAATGTAGAAAGTGCAAGATACCAATTTATGCTAAAGTTCCTCAATTAATAATGCATGATATATGCCCTCTCACAAAAGGAGTGTCCAGGAAAAGTACCAAAATATTGACAGAGATAGAAAATAAAACTTTGAAAAAGGAAAAAAATACTTAAAAGGAAAATTATGTGTACAGATCATTCAAAGTCACAGGACAGTGGAGAAAACAGCAGGTCAAACATGGAGCGTCGCTGGCTTCATTAACAGAGTACAAAAGTAAGGAGAGGACACTGACCTTGTACAAGACACTTGTCAGATCTCAGCCAGAATATTATAGACTTCTGGGTGCCACGTTATAGGAAAGATGTGAACACTTTGGAGTGAGTGCAGAAGTGATTTACAAGAATGGTTACAGGAATGAGAAACTTCAGCGATGAGGATAGATGGAAGACATTGGGACTGTCTGCCTTAAGGAGAAGAAAGCTGAGAGGAGATCTGATAGCGGTTTACAAAATCATGAGCAGGCTGGATAGAGTAAATAGGGAGAGGTTGTTCCCACTCAAACAAGAGGTCATAAATTTAAAGTAATGTTCAAAAGAAGCAACGGTGACGAGAAAAAAAACTTTTCATTCTGCAAGTAGTTTGGGTCTGGAATGCATTGCCCGGAAATGTGGTGGAGACAAGTTCAATTAGGGCATTGAATGATTATTTGGAGAGAAATAATGTGCAAGGGTACAGGGAAAAAGGCAGGAGATTGGCACCAGATGACGATGCTTGTTTGAAGAGCCAGTGCAGCATTATGGGCTGAATGGCCTCCTTCTGCACCTTTCCGTTTCACAGAAACATTAACTGCATTAGAAACATAAATTACCAACCATTTCTAAAGTAGCTGATAATAGTTGATATATATCATGGTCAGGTGGTTGGCTTTAAGCAGTGGTAATTCAGCTAGAACCTCTTATGGCACAGTGGTAATGTCCCTACCTCTGAAGCAGGAGATCTGGATTCAAGTCCCACATACTCCAGAGGTATCTCATCATATCGCTGAAAAGATGGATTAGAAATAAAAATCTCCAGCTGGGCTCTCATTCCTCCCACATCAAACCATCAGCTCCATAACTGAGATGTTTATCAGTAGCTGGGACAAGAAATTCAATCTTTTAGAAGTCAAATCTGCCCGTGTCTCTGCACAGCGCCATCACAAAACTTCCCTTCTTACCGCTTTGTAGATGTGCTTCTTGATGAGGATGTAGAGAGTTGGCAGGGTGATGTAAGCTATAAATTCCCAAATTTTGCCAGTTAGCAACATCCACAAGACATGATCCTCTGCCTGGATACTGACCCAGCACCAGCCTACTGACACATCTGATGCATCATAGCCTATCTTCTGCAGGCTAACTGCGGCCACAGTGATTAGGAGAGGTACGAGCCAACTGCAAAACACAAAGATTATCTTGCATCAGAAACACCAGCAACCACTTTCCTTCCCCAACTCATTCACTGGCTTAATCTTCAGGGATAGTACCACAATAACTTAAACAATCCATGGTTACAGGAAGCCCCATCTCTCAGGTGGGGGCAAGATGTGACCTGGACTGCACTGAGTCAACAGGAACAACACTGTCAGCCCTGCCTGTTGTTTAAAAGGGAAAGTTTTAGCAGAAATGGCATACTTGCACTGTTATGAAACACATCAACATGCCTTACTGCAAACATCCAGATAACAAGCCAGAAAAACCTTCAGCGACATTCCTGCAGTTACAGGAATAAACTTTTCAGGAAGAATTCTTTAATGAGCTTGCAAAACACAGCTGATTCATAAACAAGAGCGTGTATACCACTTGCTGTACAGGTTATTGTACGCTAGCAGGTAGATGGCCCTAGTGGTATTATTGCTCGACCCAGGTAATGTTCCGGGAGACAGGTTCAAATCCTGCCATGATAGATGGTGGAATCAGAATTCATAAAAATCTGTAATCAAGAGCTTAATAATGATTTTTGGAGAAAACCCATCCGGCTCCCTTCAGGGAAGGGGAACTGCCATCTCTGAGATCTGGTCTACATGTGACTCCAAACCCCAGTCATTTCGTTGATTCTTAATTGCCATTTTGGTAATTAGGGGTGGGTAATAAATACTGGCCTTGCTACATCCCTACGAATGAATGAATAAAAAGGAGATGTGCAAGCAGCGTTAACTTACACAGTAAACATTTAAGCCATTTAAACATTTTCTGAAAATACTGCTAAAATAACTCCACGGAGGCCAGTATCCTGTAACCAAGTTACCCTTTATTCACACGTGCACAGTGCATGACACTGGCCCACCTAGGTCAGTGCCAACTCCTAAAATGAACAGAACCCCTGACACTCCTGCTTACATCAATCAGCCTGGGCTCCCAGATTGGACCAGGTTAACAGCCCCAATCAGGGATCTCATATTCTATGAGGTCCATTCGGCTGATCTTGTTTCAATCACTGCAACTGCAAACATCAAGGGAAGGTAGTTACATAGCACACGGACAGAAAGTGGCCTTGTTTGTAAAATTGTCATAATCCCACTGGACCATTAGGGCAGCTCCTCTCATTAGACAGAGATGACTAATGGGTCACCAAGCCTCTGGAGAGGGGAGTCAATTTGTTTTTCAACACACACTTACACAATGCTAACACCAAAGATCCATGTAATAACCAAACAACAATGTTTTACCATCATTGCAGGAGTTGGCCTGGGCTCAATGACTGCACTCCCCCCACCACCCCCAAATCAGAAGGTTGATGTTTCAAGATCTTTTCCAAAGACTTGAGGTCAACTCAAGAATATAGGCGACACTGCCATACAGCAGTGAGAAAGGGCTGGTCAATGCCACCTCTCAGATGAAATGTTTGACAAAAAGGTTCCATCTGTCTGCATGGGTGAAAGCAAAAAGGATTCCACCATACTACTTACAAGGAGGAAAGAAGCTGGCAAATTGGATACACAATTGACTTGATGGTAGGAAGCAGAGAGTAATAGTGGAAGGATGCTTGTCCTACTGGAAGCCTGTGACTAGTGGTGTGCCTCAGGGGTCAGTGCTGGGCCTATTGCTGTTTGTTATCAAGATCAATGATTTGGATGAGAATGTATAAGGTGTGAGTAGTAAGTTCGTGGATGACACTCAAATAGGCAGTATCGTGGACAGTGCAAGGTGTTGCATTTTGGAAACTCAAATGAAGGCAGGAGTTTCATGGTCAATGGTAGGGCCTTAGGGAGTGTTAACAGAGGGACCTTGAAGTTCAGGTGCATGGTTGTCTGAAAATGGAGTCACAGGTAGACATGGCAGCGAAGGCGGCTTTTGGCATACTGGCCTTCATCAGTCAGGGCACTGAGTATAGAAGTTGGGAAGTTATGTTGCTGTTGTACAGAACGTTGGAGAGGTTGAACAAGCTAGGACTTTCTTCTTTGGGGCGTAAGAGACTGAAAGGGGATTTTCTAGAAGTGTTTAGATCATGAGAGGCATGGATAGGGTGAATGCACTCAGTCTTTTTCCCAGGGCAGGGGAATCGAGGACTAGAGGGCATCAGTTTAAGGTAAGAGGGGAAGGAACGTATGGGAACCTGAGGGGCAACTTTTTTTTTTTAAAAACACAGAGGGTGGTGCACATATGGAATAGGCTGCTAGTGGAAGTGGTTGAGATGGGGACATTAACAACATTTAAAAGGCATTTGGACGAATACATGGATTGGAAAGGTTTAGAGGGATACGGGCCAAGTGCATGGAAATGGGTTTAGTGTGGATAGAGAGTTTGGGGCATGGGCCAGTTTTGGCCAGAGGGCCTGTCTCTGTGCCGTAGGACTCTATGACTCTGTTCTGCTGGTGTCTTGGCCAACATTTTATTCTTAGTCAACGGCTACAACAGATCATCTGGTCACTTATTTTATTACTGTTTGTGGAAGCTTACTTTGCACAACTTGGCTGCCACATTTCCTACCTCACAGCAGTGACTATACTTCATTAGCTCTGGATGGGTATATGAATAGGATGGGTTTAGAGGGATATGGGCCAAATGCTGA